AGAAAAAAAAGAGAAAATATCTGGCCTATTTCATTTTCATATGTCTGCCATGTTTATCTCAGGTTGTATTTATTCTCAGTTCTTCAGATTTTAGGCATTTTGAAATCAGAACCTTTTATTTTTTTTAATAATCCTTTGTTCTTTCCTAGTTTAGCCACAAGAAGACTATAGCAACTAAATAATCAGGGCTTTAAGAACTGCCCAGTCTCTCAAAAACCTTCCTCTTTAAATTGCATCCTTTTCCCTGGTCCTGCCATAGCTGCTGTTTTTCTGTAGAAGGGCTAAAACATTGACTTTGGTAGATTTTCATAATATCCTGAATGGAAAGGCTGATATGAGCTGTATCAGTCTCTATTCCAAACTATTGCCTTCCACCAGCAGTGTAAGGAGTTCAGGCACATCCTGTCAGGCTGGTCTTGGATTAGTCAAAAGAAGAAAGGAAGGAAGGAGACCTTCTAAAAGATCAACTCCCCTCCATCATTCTAAGTGTTGAGATAATGTGCCTGGATAGAGCAAGATATTTGGGATAATCTTAACAAAGGTCCTGTATCACTGTTTCTGGATGTATATTCTTTTCCTCAGTTGCCCCAGAAATAGTGCTGAGGCACCAGATGCTTTTCGTATGGAGCACAAGTGTAATGCAGTCCAGTGCATTGTACAGTTCTCCCTCACTACCAGGGAAAGAAAGGGCCACAGCTGGATTTCCCTCTGTGATGGAAGTTCATTCAGCAGTTGCAGATCTGTCTGAAATCTCAGTGCAGTTAGACACTTACCTGAGCATTGGTGTGGGAGCTTAGGCTCCTGTTGTGCCATGTTTCTCCTGTGACTCAAAGCAATTTCAGCTTTAGAATATCTGTGTTTCTTCCATTAGCTTCTGGGGTATCTTAGTTCTCCTCTGTCACTCCATAAATAATAAACTGATCATTTATTCTCCTTAGAGAACAGATTTTCCTGAGTTTAGTCCAGATGGGAGAATTGAGAGTCATAACAGTCTAGATACACAGCTGATTCTAGTCTTATGTACTGCTGTCTTCTTCATGGAGTCATTTAATTTTGCTTCCCATATGTAGGAAATGGGATACTAGACTGGATAGGCTTTGATTGGGTCTGTGTTTCATTTGGGGGAAATGTCTGTATTTTATCTGTATCACACTTTTCATGTGTTTTCGAAGTACGTATTTGCAACAGGAGAAGTTCTTTATTGTCTCCTTAGCAGCAAGCCCTATGCCATAACATTGGTGATGCTACTCAGCATGGGTATCTTCTGTTGGTTCTAGCATTGAGCCAGCTGCAGTGTTTCTGTCCTGACAGAATTTTTGTAACAGGAGACATAGTCTTTTTAGTGCTTTTCTAGCTTCCTTCTTTGATTGAGGTTTTTATCAGTTGTTACTACCTAGGCAACAGTACGTGTAATGTTTTGATTTTAGTGTCCTTGTAGTAAAATGTTTCAAAATTAATCCCTTAACTAACAAATGCACTCAGTGTTATAATATACTCTCCTGGAAACATAGTTCCTTTATTCAAACAGCAGAGAGCAAGACTCCCATGGCAAAGCTTTCCATACTTCTCTGGGACTGGTATATGAACATGACTGAACAGTGGTTTTGTTGGAGCACATGTCTTGGCTGAGAGGGGAATGTGGGATATAATGAGAACTAACCCCATCAGGCAGGATTTATTTTACATTAGGAGGTCAGGTTTGCTAGACTCTATCATATTTTGAAAGGTCTTTCACAGAGGCACTCTCTTCCAGAGGTATAACTCACAGATTGTAAGGAAATTCCTTCTCCGTTATTATGCCAACTTGGCAAATCACCACTCATGTGTTTCTCCATGTAAAAGCAGAAAATAAGAAATCTGTTTGGGGTTTTTTACTAGAACCAGTCTAACTACTGAAGGTCTTGAAACCTTAAAGTCATGAAAAAGTTTAAAGACACAAAGTTTCTGGACACTTGTAACTCTGTGAGTTAATGATTTCAGCATTTCTCAACATGAAGCCGTTGGCCTCCAAGGAGAACTAGCTCACCCCAACAGCTAGCAGCAAGAAATAAACTGCATTCTTCAGCTGATATGTGTTTTTATTAAGTTGGCACCAGGAGTATCTCTGAATTCCTTGCCTCTTACTGCAGGCGTCAAGTCATCTGCCACTCAGGCTGGTGCTGTGCATGAATGAGAAGCTGAGGTTTAAAATTGCTGCAGGTATCTTTATGCTAAAAACAGTTCTTGAAACAATACTAACTCAGTTCTGCCTTTATTGCTTTCTAGCAACACTGCTACCTTTTAGAAGTTTAAGCAATAATTATTTCCTTTGTAGCATCTCAGCACCTCTTGTGGTTTTCAGGGATACCACAAATTTTTGGTCAGAAATCCCTGAAATACCCATAAATTAAAGCTGTGATTCCACCTCCAGGTTCTGATGACATTGACAAATCACTTGAGCTTTGCTGACATGGCTTATGTCACAGGAGTCCTCTTAATGGAATTACAGCCTTCATTTGTAGAGTTTGGGGAGCATTCTATTGCTCATTAAACTAACATTTATTTATTACTAGTCAGCCCCAGTTTGAACCATTGGAGTAATGAGAATCAAAGCATATTTAACAGCAATAAATAGATTGAAATCTGGGCAGGTTTTATCATCTTATGCTTTCCTTTATGCCATCCTGCTCTCTTTAGCTAGAGTAGGTCTGCCTTCTGTTTGAACTCCCCTTTGTCATTGCCACCGTAACTAATGAAAACAATAAGCATCTGTTCTGATAGTTGCTGCCATTGTTCCCTGCAAAATCTTTCCCCAAGAATCTGTCTACTGAGTGGAACTGGGTAGAGAGTTCATAACAAATGAATAGGAGAAGGTGTAAAATCAATGTTTCTTCAGGTTCCATCAATATAAATATATTGACTTAGTAATCTGCTATGATTTAGTCATATACTACATGAAAAGTACTAGAGTATGAAATGGAACCACAAATCATTTTAAAGTAGCATGATGAAGCGGTGACAGAATGATCGCAGCAAGTGTATATTACTTATCGCCATGCTATAAAGATGTTATACCATTCTCAAGGAAAGAAATCCCAAGGTAGAAGGAGCTCTTCATTAAGCATTGTACTGTGCCAAATGCGAGCTGATAGCAATTTGCCTCTGTCAGTATCAAAGCAGAGGTCAATGGCTCAAACCACCTGTCAATTTAAAAATCGCTTTGGCAGCTTTCATGTACCAAGGAATCTCATAAAGCTGCTAGCTTTAGTTTGAAAGCTACATTTAGAATTTTTTGGAGCACATACTTACAGAATGAGCAGTTCTCTGTCTCTTTCTTGTGAAGCCCAGCATGAGCCTTATGAGATGACCAACTACTGTCTCAGCTACCAGAGAACTACTCTGATAGAGACAGAGTAGCAAATGAGGAAGTGTCCTCTTTTATGTGTCCTTGTGTGAGTGGGCATCATAGCATCCTTATCTCCTCTTTAGAGACCACAGGGCTTAGTGGAGATACCTCCCTCCTTTTGTTTCTATTTGAGTCAAAATGGCTCAGTAAAGCCATTCCCTCATCTTTTTTTCCATCTTAGGTTTTTTTTTCCATCTTAGTCTAAATGTCTCTACAAATTAGATAAAGACTTTGGACTTGTAGGAGTTTGCCTAAAGAAGGAGTTTGTTCAAGTTTTAGCCTGTTTTCATGAGGCAAATGCAAATGATTTTCTATATAGTTACATCTAGCTTTGATTTCAGAGCTAAGTAATATTTGATATACTTGTACATTATTGAAATGTTAA